TCTTTTTTGTCGCGTTGTGATGACATCACATACGCGATTTCGTCGACCGCGCTTTTGTGGAACGCGGTTTTGACGGGTCACGGGACTTTCTGGTTATTCTTTGAAAACATTTTGTTTCTCATCCAAGAATTTTCTTCAGCTCTGTTCCAGAGCTGTTTCAGAGCTGAAAAAGCCTCTTGGATGGGAAGCGAAACATCTTCAAAGAAAAACCAGAAAGTCCAGTTGCCTCTTGAAAAAGTACCTTTGGTACAGTGCTTTACAGCCCTCTCTAAGCGGTTTGCAGACTCAGAATATTGCCCCCAACAGTCTGGGTCCTCATTTTACCGACCTTGGAAGGATGGAAGGCTGAGTCAACCTTGAGCCTGGTGAGATTCGAACTGCCAAACTGCAGTCAGCAGTCAGTCAGCAGAAGTAGGCTGCAGTACTGCATTTAACCACTGCGCCACCACGGTTCAATTTCACTGATTTGTAGAATCATGGTTGATTTGGGAGAAAAATAGTGTTACTGCAATTAACTAAGGCAAAGATTGGCAATTTGTTCTGAAAATGCTGGGCTCCAAATTCCATTAATTCCAGTTACCAGTTGGCATAAAAATGGAAATTACACCACAACTACATCAGAAAGTTGACAGGTTCTCCAGTTCTAAAATAAAAGTGAACTAAACTATTTTATTACAATATCAATTATCTATGTGAGAAGAACTTGGTAAAGACTATTGAGAAAACAAACTTCCCCAGTCTAGCAATATCATATCAAACTGTTAAACAGAAGATACCTAAATGGAGAAGATGGCTTGGAAGGATCTGCTTTGGGATCCAATAGAAAACGTTGCTGTGTAACTGTTGACTTTGAATTATTGACTTTCAGCACAGGATAACCCATCTGCCTGGTCCATGTGTCCATCACTTCTTTGACAGGTTTTCCACTTACCTAAAAACAACAATAGATGATCATGCTGGGAGAGTGTTCAGCATCATAAGTAGAGATGGTATCAATTGTCCAGGAGGTGTTTGAGCAATTCATTTATTTGCGACAGATATTAAATTGTAGCTGGAGTTTTGGTGGCACATCTTGTGCTAATGCACATTTTTTTTTCTTTTGATTGGTTTCTCAGAGCACTTTTAACATAATCATTTGGTCTGCCAATCAAACTTTGTATTTGGTTAGTACCCCAGCCTAATGGGTACAACATAATTGAGGCTCAATCTTTGGTACTTTTTCTTTGAGTCCTGCTTGGCTACTTCAGTTTGTTTACTTTACAAATCTAGCCAGCAAATTTTGGCAGTTGGAAGATAAGTACACACACAAAAAGCTGCAAATTGCTATTAGCCTCAAATTTCTATTAGCATACCATTAATTCATAGTTCTTTAATTCATTGGTGCTCTCCTTGTCTTTTCCTAATTGTGTCATCACAACAACATGAAAAGCATGATTAATGCTAAATTATTATTTCTTCTCTGATGCAAGCTCAGTTGGTATTAGTGAAAAGTATGAACTTATTGGAAAGAAAGAGAACATACCTCTTCCATTGCTTTCCAGAAATCGTCTGTTTTTGCATTGTTAAATTCATGGTCTGTTAGGTATTTCTGTGGGGGGAAAGAAAGTTATTACATGAGGTTGCAAATTCTGAACTTTAGCATTTGCCATAACATTTCTAACAAGTTATATTGATTGTTATTAGAACATCTTTCTATAACTTGTCATCCTCCAGATCACTTTTGATCATGGTACATGGCTTAGTGAAGTGGACAAACTCTATCCAATACACAGATAAAGCATGACACGGAGGAGGCAAACAAGTAGCTAGTGCTCAATTGTTTTCTAAACAATTCCAGTTGTGATTTTAATGTTTCAGGGCAATTCATCATATCCCACTAAACACCCAAGAAGATCCAGAGGGCTGCAAGATTCCACTCTGATATATAGGATATGCAGTGGTGGGATTCAAATAATTTAACAACCGGTTCTCTGCCCTAATGACCGGCTGAGTAGGTGTGGCTCGGTGTTCATGTGACTGGGTGGGCGTGGCTAACTCAACATCTCTCACATTGATGGACGCTTCACCTTAGCTGTTATAATGTAGTAAGGGTTAACCGAAGAGGCAGTTTCTGTAAGTAGGGCAATAAAGATGAGGCTAGAAAAAAACCAGAATGTTTCCTTCTTGCCTTCCTTACAGGATTAGCCCTGTAAAGTGGAAAAAACCAAAATGAGATTTCTTCCAACAATCGGTTCTCTGAACTACTAAGAAAGTTAACCACTGGTTCTCCCAAATAGGTGATAACCGGCTGAATCCCACCACTGAGGATATGGGTGTGCAATGCTGAGGTTTTAAAAATGAATAATTTTTAATTATTTATTAAGGAAGCAGAAATAAATAATTTACATCTATACTTTTTTCCCCAAGATGAACAAAAAAACCCAACTGAATTTTAAAAATGCCCTTGATTTAAACCTAGTTAGAAATGTTACTTTCGTTGACCTTAATTATTTCGCCAAGTGAAAGCTATTTAGGTAAAGTGGGATTGCTCTCATAATACGCTGCTTCACCTTCTATTTCAATTATTCAAGAACACACATCTTAAAATAAGTCCCTCATCCATTAAACAAGACAGGAATTTATAATCTAAGCACACTGCGTAGGTTTCAGTAAACAAACAACCGAAAAAAGGGGAAAAAAAGAACACAACTAGAATTCTCTCTCGTTCTTTCTCAGCTCTTTGCCCTAATGTACAGCCCAATACATTTGTCCGGCTAAAAACTGCTGACTCTCAATGTCACTGCTGGATAAAGAATAGATTTGTCCTTTCAAAAGCATTGAAACTTGCTTTCAGGGACCAACGAGCCGATGCTGCAGACATGCAAGATTTGGAGTGTGGATTTTATTGTCAGGGAACAGCTGTGTTTTTGCTGAATTGTCTTTTAAGTGTTCTCTACCTCCTCTCTACACACAACACCCTAACCCAGCACTTTTGTTTCAAACTTATTTTCCCCCCCGCTTCTTGTTAAATTTCTACCTGAGGTCAGCTTTTAAACAAAAGAGGTGAGCTTGACAAGAACTGTGGGTGAGGATACCATCTGCTGTATGGGATGCTCTTTATGGATGCACCATGCCTGGCTTACTAAAAAAAAATGGATAGGTTGATTAAAGGTACATATTTCATCAGTTTTTATCCACAGGGCCACAAGCAAAAAGTGGCAAAGAAGATTCTACAGCTTCAGATAGTCCTGGTCTTCAGGGGCAGGCTTCAAAAAATTTAGCAAGGGGTTCTCTGTCTGGTTGCTGGGTGGGTGTGGCCATGGCTTAATCAGCCACCTGCACCATGGTAGGGTTGAAGGTTGCCCTCCCAAGGCGTTCCTCCAGTTCCAGAAAGGTGAAAACGGCTTTCCCAGGCTCATCTGGTGGCCCAAATTTGTAATAGGGCCGTTTTTGCCCTCCCCAAGCCTCCTGGTGTGCCCTGCACTTACCTGCATCCAAAACGGGTCGCCTAGGGATTCCTGGGAGGGCAGGGGTGGGGTGAGCAGGGCCAGCGAGGAGTGGGATTTGGAGGTTCTCCAAACTGCACAGAATCAAAGCTAGAGGTTCTCCCGAACCCCTGCAAACCCCCAGCAGCCCATCCCTGCTCGCCTTATGACAACTTGTCCAGGGACTGCTCGAAGTTACAACACTACTGAAAAAAGTGACTTAGGACCATTTTTTTTTTTTTGCATTTACAACCGTTACTTGATCAAAATTCAGACGTTTGGCAACTATTTATGACCAGTTGCATTGTTGCGGGGGGGGGGGGGAGAGTGTCATGCGATCCCCTTTTGCGACCTTCTGACAAGCAAAGTTAATGGGGAAGCCAGATTCACTTAACAACCAAGTTGCTAACTTAAGAAGTGCAGTGATTCACTTAACAACTGTGGCAAAAAAGGCAGTAAAATGGGGCAAAACTCACTGAGCAACCGAAACTTTGGCCTCAGTTGTGGTCGTAAGTCAAGGACTACCTCTATTTCTTCTTCAGATTAATAACCGAGTGCAAGAAAATCAGTAAAACCTTCCTCTTTCCTTGTCTATGGAGATTCTCAATCATCCAGGTTGTGGTTGTGCCAGATGTGCTTTTTTTTCAAATGGCAACTGGACTTTCTTGGGCTTTGTTCCTTTGAAAACATTTCACTTCTCACATCCAAAATGCTTATTCAGTTCTTCTATGTTCAATTCTAAGCCAATAAAAGTCCAGAGGTCTTTTGAAAAAAATGAACCTTTGGGACAAGTTTCTCTTCACTTTGTGGGTTGGATGGAGGACGTGGCTATTCCAATGCGTCCCACAGAGACATGAAGAACATTGTATTGTAGAAAGTTAGCACCAACCCTTCTCCTAGAAAAATGAAATATTCTAGGAAATATGAAAAAGGCAGAGTATTTCCCCTAAAAGAGAAATAGAAATCTTAAGGGACACAGAAACGCAGCCTCAGCAGATATTTTGATGCTGGCTTATCTACAAGACAAAAGACCTTCAGCTCCAGAATGATAGGATTAGCCCTCACTCAAGATCCAAACCAGACAATGCCATTAAGCCATAATAGGACTTGCCCAAAGCCCCTTCATTTCATCACCCAGCAAGATTCAACCAAGATTCAAAGCCCAAGAGAGGGTATAAATCTCTCTCTCTCTCTTTCTCTCTCTCTCTCTCTCTTACACACACACCCACCCACACACCCATGGGCTCAATTGCCCAGGACTTCAAATCCATGTGGTCCTGTCCACCATTAAACCATCTTTCCAAACAGTCTCCATGTTTCCAGTGTCTTTCTCCCCACTTGGAACTGAACCCAGATGGGCATTTCTTCCCACAATTAGACTTGATAAGACACTATCTCGGTTGTAATCTTATTGAAAGTTGCAACAGTTGTGCTGTGAATGGTCATGGCTGACATTGAAAGTTATATATTTCCCTTTGTCGGAGCTCATATGGTTTAGTGGATAAGATAATAGAGAAGAAATAGTAAAAATTTCTCACCCGCAGAAGCTCATTAACAATTTTGGGTTAGTCACTGTTCCTCAGCCTAACCTATCTCAAAAGGTGTGGAGGATGTGGTGGGAAAAACAGGAGCAGTTGGATTTCTTCTGATGGAAATCAACCATGGACACAGTTTCTAAGAATGTGTTCATAGCAGCAACGTGGAAGTTGAAGTGAAGATGAAATTTTTTTGTATCTATGTACATATACAATGAGGAAGTTTCAGAAAATTCCTTCCTTAAGTGTGTGTGTGTGTGTGTGTGTAGTTGTATAATTGTAGTTATAGTTGTAGTTGTTACATGTGCTCCAGAAGTCGTCTCTTGGTTTGATACCTTGGAAGTAAATCATATTTTTCTTGGCTCTTCCTACATATTTGAATGTTCTGCATTAGACCAATAGATGGCACTGTTTGTCTCACTCAGCACTTCGATGTGTTCATGAATTTATTCCTAACTTGAATCAGAAGTACAGATCAAATATGCTACCCAATTGCATCTTGATCAAGTGTAGAAGGTAGACAGCTGCTTGCACAATCATTATTTCTCAACCAGTAATTATGAGCAATATTATTATAGGCTCTGAACCTTAAACTGCTTTGATCTCAGTTCCAGCTCTATGTAATAGGTGCCCTTTTTATAAGGTAGGCAGCATGTAGCACCATGATGTGTGTTCTTCCTTTTAAACAAAGTTTTTATTCAACCAGCACTCTTAAGGCAGAAAGAGGTGTGTATGTGTGTGTGTGCGTATGTGTGCACGCTGTATATTGAGATAAATTGTTGTTATTTGGGAAGCTGTGTCCGACCCCTCGTGATAAAGTGTATGTATGTATGTAGTGTGTGTGTGTGTGTGTGTGTGTGTGTGTGTGTGTGTGTGTGTGTGTATGTATGTATGTATGTATGTATGTAACTTACACGGGAAAAGACCCAAATATAACAAGACCAGCATACCTACACCTACGAATAAACACACACACACACAAACCTCAAAATGTTTT